TACCGGCGTGACAGATTTTTCAAAAAAATACATTTGTTTAATTTTTTAAGAAAAAAATACCCTGACATGAACTTTACCTCTTGTTAAAGAGTGCAATTACCACTATCCTTTCGGAAAAGTTAGAAGGAAAAAGTTGGAGCCTTTTTGAGAAAATGGCGTTTGGACGTTTCTGAAAACGTGGAATTTCGAGCTAGTTTTCACAGAAAACAAACGAGTTCCTCTGTTGAAAAATTGACACTTTTCCTCGCAGCATTACATAACTTTCTCTACACAACATATATTACTCCTTATATACGCACGTGTATGAGAGAAAGTAAACTACGAATGGCACTGACTTTTCCGGATTAGTTTTCTATTTCCATTAGTCTCGGCTAGCTGACCTTGCCACATACCTTTGCCAGCTGCCATCTATCGACGTCCCATATTTTGAAATGTTCTTAATTTTTCAGTTTCCTATTAACAGAACAAGAATATTAATTTAAGAATATTAAATAATAGTAAAGACTCGTTCTAAATTGCAATTAAAAACATTGCAGCCGTTTTTATGAAAATGCTACTGTTAATTCAAATTTGAATGTATTTTTCACAGAATATTTTGAGTTTTCAAAAAACTTCAGTTGAAGCCATTTTCAGAACTTTAACTCACAAATACAATAATGTTTACAAATTGGTAGAAATGTGCATATTAACGGTGTGAGAGATGTTTAAAAAACATTACATTTGAGTAATTTAAAAAAAAATACCGAAATGAACTTTTAGACATATTAAAGACTACAATTACCTCTGCCTGTTCGAAAAGTTTAAAAATTTGAGTTCATTTAAAAAAATGGCGTTTGAGCGTTTATGAAAATGCGGAATTTTGAATAGTAAATGTTTGTAATTTTTGACAAAACAAAAGAATGGAGCAATATGGCGTTTATGTCATATAAAGTGCAGTTAGCACCATCCGTACCAAATTTCGAGCTGTCTTCGAGAAAATCTTGTTTTTTTTATAATTGCAAACATTGCACTCAATATTGCGCGAAAACTACTAAAATGTTCAAAAAACTTAATATGACTTTAATGAATGAACTCACTATGGAGAACAAATTTTATTTGAAGTAAAAATTTCTATCTTTAATTTTGTAGTTGTAGAAAAACACCGAAAAAAATCATACTTTTGAAATTTTCGAAAGTTCAGAGTTAACCGTGAAAATCGGACTTATGTCACGTTTATAAGTGTATGTTACTTTATTCTTACGTGATATTTAAAGAAAAAATTTGGAGTCGTTTTTGAGAAATTGTCTCAGGGGCTTAATCTAAAGTACACCCAAATTTTAAAGAATGTTTTTCAAAATCTTAAAGCTTTTACTCGAGCTAGATGGTTCGGGGTTTCTTCATTTTGGAAAAAATCCTACGAATAGTTTAGGCGCTAGAGGTGTTCACAGATGGACGGCCAGACAGACGGCCGTTTAAAAAAAACACTTTTATAGTATTAGGGGAACCAAAAACTTGTATTTTCGTTGCAATCTCGAATTCGATTTTCCGCAGCAAAACATAACTTTCCTTATACTACGTATACGTACCGAATATACGTACGTATGAGGGAAAGTGAAAAAAATATCTAACTTCATTATTGTAGTTGTAGGAAGAGGCCGAAAAAATTAAAAAAATCTGTACTTTCAAAAAATTCATTGTGATGTAAAGTATCCCCCAAAATCGTTTTATCTCTTTTGAATTCAAGGAGCGCGATATCATCCAGATCGATGAGGAAATATCAAAAATGATGAAACTATTGAAAATGTGAAGACCCAGAAAACTATACTTTGCGAGAAATTAAAAATGACTACCTACTTAAAATATTTATGATGGTCTGAACAGAAATTAATTTCCACTGAAATGCTTGTTGGATCCTTTGCGATGGCGTAGTTTCGAGATTTTTGAAATCTGGGTCGCATTCAACCACTGTCAAAAGGAGAACTCAAGGGACAAACTGCACTGATCGAAATTTTCCTTGGTTTCTCCGATCAATACCAGGGAAATATCTGAGCAGTACTCTGACAAATGGACCAAGAACCGCACATGATCTTCCCTTCTTTATCCTTGGGTCCTCCCCTTCCCTTACACAAAACACTCACACACGCACTACAAGACCACGAACGGGGGCGCGCAGAGAAAACCAGCGGTCAGGAGCAGTTGATCGAATGGGGCCCCTTATTTCAATCAAAAAATTCCCTCCTCCCCCAATTCATTAACAGAATTCATATCTCGATGCATCATATATAACTTGTAGCGTTAAATTTGGATTAAAGAAAAATATATTTTTCATTTCTTTTGAATGAAAAAAACAACAACAAAAAACAAACAGACTGGGGACCGCAGTTAAGACGGGGCCTGGTGCAAGTTGTTACCTGCCCCCGCCCCCTTCTGGACACTCCTGATGGATATCAGGAGGCCAGTCAGAAGCTAATAGCCTGTACTGGCAATTAGTCTCTCATGGTCCAGCGAGGGAGAATCACCGCCACCGCCCGGAGTTAGCCTCCACTCCCCTCACGGATGTAATGACGTAAATATTTGACGCGCCCGGAAACTAAAAAAAACAAAACTCGCTGACACTAATATGCTTAAATTAGACTCCTTTCGAGAGTTGCCACTTTTCGGGTGGTTTTGAGCATCTCGTAGTAATAAAATTTTAACGAATGTATAGTAATTTTAACATAGTGTCTTATAAATTAGATCGTTGGTGATTTAGATACCTTCTATTATTATGATAAATAAAGGATGTTGTCTGGTATCAATAACTTTTATGTTAAGCTTAATAAAAAAAATTGTTTCTTTAGTTGTTCGTAGTTCTTGTTTTATAATAATATTGTCTTGATAGTAAAATTGTACCATGGGTCATCTGATTTGGATTATGTGATACCCTCGATTTTAGTTCCCTTTATTAATAATAGTAATGATAACGATAGGTACCACTTCCTGTTAGTCTACTGATTGTCTTTTTATTCCCGAAGTGATCATGGTTCCAAAGTGAAGGTTGGAGACGTTGAGTGTTCAGCAATAATTTGTTTGCTCATAAAAAATGAATATGTTAATGTATATAATATCTGATTTTATATACTTGTAATACCTGTAATTGTATATCTGTTTTTGATTCACGTTTAATGAATACTATTTTAATTTCGAGAAATTGAATTTAAAAAGCCATGTCCTTTATACTGAAGAAAATGAAGTGTGACGAATAAAGTAGTGATAAAAGAATGAGGAGGAGAAGTGTGATAATGTAAGTCGAAGTTTTGAGCATCAGTATCGTTTCCTTAACCCAAGTTGATAACGATTGGTGTATTGTCAGAGCTCGGATTCTGATCTAAAAATTCTTTAATGACCTAAAAAGGACTTAAAAATAAGGGGAAAACGACCTAATTAAAAAAATACTGAAAAATTTGTATGAATATGTTTATTTATTCAATGAATTCTACAATTTTAATTAAAATTTATTTATCTAAAGTTATGTTTAACTATACATTTCTATTGCATATATTCGATTCATTTACAAGTCAGCTACGTCTAGAATGCACCAATGAAAAGATGACATGTCATTAGAATCCGAGCTCTAGTTTTTAGTGTACGAAGTGTTCAGGAAGAAATACGATTCTCTTTCTCTCTCCGAGTGTTATTTCACAATATATGATGTTCTGAAGATAAAATTTAAACTTAATTTCTTTTTAAAAATAGGAAGTGACTCTTGGTTAAAGTAATCTTCGCAGGATGCGTTTGAATTGGCCGTCTTTATTTCTATCAGCTAGTCAGCATCATTGCCCTACTGTGGTAAGATGATTCCTTGGAAATGTCTACGCGTCATGCAGATGTCAATCAAAATCTTTATTTAATCTGCCGGTACGTTTCTCGTTTGGTAATAGAAAGAAGGTGCTCAGGTTTTAATTCTCTTCACAATCTTTTTTATTTTGCTTTTTTTCCTATTTCTTCGCATTCTTGTGTAGTGTTATTCCAACTGAAGTATAATAATTTCATCTTAAGAATAACAAATATTCATATTATTGTTCCTCCGTTTATATTGACATTTAGTGATTTCTATAGAATATTTCCCTTTCCTTCTCTTTTAAGACACTTTTGCTCACTTTTCCTACACTTCCTTCCTGTGACTATGACGTTTGCCCACATTTTCTATTTTTTCTGTTTTAAGAGTAATTTTTTAAAGCCCGCGGTTTACTTCGTCGAATTTATTTCTTCTAATGAATTATCTTTTCAATTATAATTGATACCTTCATTGTCATTCATTGAAAAAACTTAATTATATTTGCAAATGATAGTTTTTGCATCTTGTTTGTTGACAGTCTTGTTTAACACATTGACATATGTTCATTCAGCCTGATCCATTATATCTTTTTCTCCCTTCACGTTTTTTTCTTCACATCACTCTCCCGAACTGGAAAATCAATGGAACGCGATGCGCAAGTGTCAAAGACACCACGTAGCGGCAGCAGAGAACTGAGTCATTCTATATAGTTGATAACATTTTTATTTACCGCATGCATTTTCTGCCAATTATGCTTATCTGCGAGTGTATATTTACTCATTGAAATACGAGTGGATGAATGTTCTGGAAAACAATTTCTTTTTCGGGTATTAATTCGAGCCATTTTAATGTCATTTTGCCAAGAGCAAAATTCATTAATTCATATGGAAATGTATTGCGGAAATGAATTATAATATGTGAGTTAATGCCCCATTGTCATAGCAATTTTTCTTCTTAACCTAAGGGTGTTTTATTTTTTCTTTAAGCTAATCAATGCGGTAGAAAAAACTACAGATGCGACACACAAAGTACATTATTTTTTTTAATTAATCGAATTGCAAAGTGCTTTCTTAATTGAAATACTTTTAAACCGTATATTAAATATGTCGAAAAATCTAATATTGGTATTCGTAAATTTTCTTTCAGGACACTTCAATAAAACGTGAAGACTCCCCCTCGCCCCTTGGGTGAAATAGGTGATACCCAGAATTACGGGAAATGCAGTTACTTGAAACACCTATATTGGCGAGTTACATTTTATCAATGTCCGACTAGTACTTGAAAACCAATTCACAGAAGGAATGTCAATGCGGAAAAAGCCCTTTAGTTTACAGACTTATCGTAGAACGAAGCCGAGACCTGGCGTAGTGACGCAACAGTGTATGAATCACCTTCGACTTCGTGCGACAGCAGTAGCGACCGAGCTGCAGCGGAGCACACATAGTGGCAGTGTAGAGAAGCGCGCGCCCTCTCTTTCTGTCGCAGGGAAGCCAATCTTACGGTCGCTTACGGTGGCGCAACTGGTTGGGAAACAGAACACATCGTTGAGAGCACTTAACCTATAGCGTATCAGGTAAATACATTGCATGATTGTTAACCTAATGATGTAGGTTATGTCAGTGTCGTTTGACATAGTAAGTAATCGAGAACTGACGGTTTATTCTGTTTTACGGTCGTAGGTAACAAAACAAAAGCTGCGTGGAAAGCGTGTTTTGAGATTACTGTTTGTTGATGTCAACTAACTTCAGGGAGAGTATCGAGGCGTCTGTTCAAAATGTTCAACATGAAGATCTATCAGCAAGCGTGGCTTTGAAGAGAGAATCCGAGGAGGGCGGGCTAAGTCCGCCTCGACGAAAAAAATTACGGGAATCAAACACAACAATGCACGGAATTGGAAATGGCGACATGCAACATACTGATGTATCTGAAGTCGCCGAGGCCTCCAGCGGTAAAAAGATCGCCGGTGACCTTCAAGAAGATTCTTCCGAAGACACCCCTAAGGTAAAAGACAAGCAAGACCAAGATATTATACGACTGATAGGTCATTATTTAAGAGCTATTGGGCTTGATCGCAGTGCTGAGCTGTTAACTCAAGAATCAGGATGCTCTTTGGATCACCCAGCAGCTCTTAGATTTTGTGAACATATAATGCAAGGAAGCTGGGGCGAAGTGGATAAGGATTTATTAGATATAAAAGGTCTGCTTGACGGAGCTTCAGAAACTTGGAGTAAAGTGAAGTTTATGGTATGTGAGCAGAAGTTTTTGGAATTCTTGGACGACGGAAGAGTCATGGCTGCCGTGAATGTACTACGCGAAGAGTTGACGCCTCTCCAATATAACACGAGTCGTGTTCACACATTAAGTACATTCATGATATGTGAGAGCTGGGAATTGCGAAGTCGTGCAATGTGGGATGGTAAAGGCGAAAAAACTAGAGCTCAACTGATAGAGAAAGTGCGGGAATGCCTGCCACCAACTATTATGCTTCCTCCTGGAAGATTGTTGACACTATTAAATCAGGCTGTAGAACACCAAAAAAGTGAATGTTTGTTTCACAATACATCACTGGACGGATTGAATCATGTCTCCCTCCTTGTAGATCATCGCTGCACGGCCGAACAGCTTCCATGCGAAACAAATCAGTTAATTCATGATCACTCCGATGAGGTGTGGTTTTGTAAGTTTTCTCCAAATGGGCTGAAGCTGGCTACTGCCTCCAAAGATTCAACAGTAATAATTTGGGACGTCCATGTATTAACACTAACCTGCACTCGTTCAGTAGTTTTGGACGATCATCCCTTTGGGATCGCGTACATTGCATGGAGTCCAGATAGCAATTCCATTATCGCATGCGGTCGTGAAGGATGTTCAGAAGCTTGGATATGGAAATTACAAGGGGAAGAGCCCACAGGACACGTTTTCCAAGCTCCAGAAGATTCGTTAACTGCTTGTGCATGGTACGGAAACGGCGAGAGTTTTGTGGTTGGAGGTTCTCGAGGTCATTGTTATCATTGCGATTCGGAAGGGCGTGTATTGGATAGTCGAGAGGGAGTCAGGGTCACCTGTTTGTGGTGTCAGAAGGATGGTACCACAATGTTAGCCGCTGACACCCATCATCGCCTACGAAGTTTTTCGTTCGACGACACACCAGATAACCTCATTTTGACAGAAGACTATCCCATCATGGCTTTCACGGTAAACTCAAATGATCGTTTAGCACTACTGAATATTGCTAATCAAGGAATTAACCTATGGGATTTGAAGGATCACATTTTAATTCGCAAATTTCAAGGTGCTTTACAAGGTTTGTTTACTATCAATAGTTGTTTTGGAGGAGTAAATGAAGATTTTATTGCAAGTGGCAGTGAAGATGGAAGAGTTTGCATATGGAACATCAAAAAAGAGGTCCCTCTTGTTTCATTAACAGGTCATACAGGAACTGTGAATTGTGTCAGTTGGAATCCTGTGTTTCACCAAATGTTGGCTTCTGCATCAGATGATCGAACTGTGAGAATATGGACTCCAGCTTGCGTTTCTAGCAATTTGTCCCAAGAACCTGAAAAAAACTGTAGCAGCTCTTCTGTGGAGGCTACAGAATCGCAGCAATTGTTGACACATGTATTGGGTGACAGAACTGTCAGAGTTCTAGGATCTTCCAACATGCAGTGCATAGTTCCGCAGGGATCTGAAACTAGTCGCAATAGTCCTCCTGGGGAAAATTCTTCTTCACTTCAACCAATGGATATAAGTGGTAAGTTGAATATGGTATTTGTGTTTTAGCCAACTTGAAACACATAATTTGCATTGTTTCATTAATCAAGCCTTCAGCTTGCATAGCTTTTTAAATGGATAATTATAGTTATTTAAATTATTTTAAACTTTATTTATTTAAATATTACTCAACTATTATATTTAATATAGAATTTTTCTACATAATTATCCATCTGTATATTTTTGTTTTATAATGGAATGAGCTTTCCAAGAATAATGACAGTCCTTTTCTAATCACATGCACATTTTATTTTTATTTCCCATTACAATGTTTTGTTGACTGATGACAGTATCATCTGGTAAATACTGTACTTACTTCAAAATCTTCATTTAAAAAGATACATTCATTAAAATAAGGTAAGACAATTTAAAACTAAATGCCAAAACAAAAAATAGTTTGAACTTATTAAAAATTATTAGAACTAGAAGGGTATACCAATTGATGTATAAAATTAAAGATTATGGTAAATTGACTTTTCAAAACATGGTCAAAAATCTTTTCCTTGCAATTAGTGAAACAATACCTCTGAAGTTTAATTTTAAGAAAAAATTATAACTATTACAAGTCAATTAGTTGAAATACAATCAAATAAAAAAACAGTTGCAAAGGAACCACAAAGCACAAACAGTCAAATTCTAAAACTCACTTGGAGGCAACCAATTCTTGTTTTTTATTTGATTATAAATAAGTTTATATTATAATAACCTTGGAACAATGCCATTTAAAAACCTTTTTCAAGTTAACCTGTGTAAATAAGGCACAAAGTATGTCAGCGGTCTCCTCCCCTGGTGTCAACTATACTGAAGTAAATTAGTGTGTCTTAGAATGTCATTTTAAAGAAGAAAGGTTTAATTTATTATTAATTTATAATTATATTTATATGAAAAACTTGTTACAATAACTGGAATGGTATGAAACTTAACATTGAATATGACTTTTTATTCTACTTAAAATATCATAAACTGTGGTAAATAGATCATACTTGATATTAGAATTAATTGTATTATGCCTTTTTTCTGAGATAATCCTAGGATAGTGCCTTCACTACCTGTCTAAATTAAGAGGGTTATTGAAATCAAAGATATGATTCAGAACCAATCTCTTTCTGGAGAGAGACTCTTGTACGAGACTCTGCCTCTTGATATTAATAGAATACTGGTACATATGTAAGTTGAGCTTGCCCTACGTATGTTTTGCACCAGACACCATGCAGCTTATGTTTAGTTTGCCCCAGGTACTTTCCACCAGACATTTAAACCAAGTCCTCACTCTCCAGGAACAGAATTCTTCCTGGACATTTCTCGCAAATGTCTTATTATTTAATTTGTTCCTTATATCAACGTACAATTCAAACTTTCTGCATTCTTTTGTATTAGATTGTTTGTACTTGGAATATAATGAATAATAATGGCATCATTCTTCTCACATAAACTAACGTCATTCTAATTTTTAATTCATTATGAGTCCTGGGAAAGGTGACCAACCTTTTCGAAATAAGTTTTTGGGTAAAATGTCCTAGATAATTATTCCTTATAAGAATATCGAAAACAGTTTTTGAATTCTATGTATGAAATTAAGAATGGGATAATTTTAATGCTCAGTCAACCAAATAATAAACGACAGAACTCTTATGCTGAAGAGGATGCGATGACAGGAAGTTTAATATTCTACCACAATCACACTCTTTTCGAAACTCATTTGTTTCAATTTTTCCTTCAATATTCATTACTGTTATATCCAGAAAACACAAATTTTTGTCTACCTGATGATTCCATTATGTATGAATGATACCTTTTCTATTTCTTATATCCCTTATATAAACAATAGAATGGAAAAAAATAATGCAGACAATTTGCTTTAAATGTTGGTATTAGGAACAAATTACCTAAGAAGAAGACGTTTGTGAGAAATGTCAAGGAAAAATTCTGTCCTTGGAGAGTGAGAACTTGGTTTAGGGTGTCCAATTCAAAAAATGTACTAAAATATGCGAGGCACTAAATGTAGGCTCGAGTTACATATGCCTCAGCATTCTAGTAATATCAGAGTCAGTCTTGTATAAATTCTATCTCTAGTCATGGACTGAATTTCACCTTTGGTTTAGATAAGTATTTTATTTTCCACAAGAATCTGATACAACTATCCTAAGACATTATCCTAAGAGACCCTTTGAATAAAAAGGCATGATACAATTAATTCCAGTGTTGAGTCTATTCTTTTTTTCCTCAGCTTATGATAATATTTACAGTAGAATAAATTATTGTTCAAGATAAGTTTCGTACCATTCCAAATATAAATAGTTTTTCGTCAATAAATTAGCCCCTTTTTCAGTATTTGATTGTAGGACAATTTAGTTATTCCTTTTATTGATTATTTCTCTTTGACCTAGTTAGTATAATCTTTGCTCCTCCCTCTTTCCCTTTTGGTTTCGTGAGTTCTATGCCCCTCCCAGCCTTCACTTGAGTGAGTTGCCCTCAGAGTGAACTCATTTCAGTATAGTTGACACCAGGAGAGGAAGTTATTGACATGCCTTATGCCCTAGATATTCAGACACTTGAAAAAGTTTGTGAATTTGTCATTGTTCCAAATTGTTTGTAATATGTGAAACTTATTTACAAAGCAACTGAGAATTGCTTGCCTGCAGGTAAGTTTTAAAATTGATTGTTTGTGTTTTGTGGTTCCTTTATAATGGCTTTTTATTTCATTGTATTTCCTAATTGACCTGCAATTCTTAAAACTTTTTCCGAAATTGAAACTTCTGAGGAATTGTTTAACTGATTTGAGAGGAAAAACTTGTTGACTATCTTTAAAAATTCAATGTATCATGAACTTAAATGTGGTGCAATAATTAGTGTAGTCTGAGTGTAGTTTCATAATTTTTATTAACTTCGAACTATTTTTAGTTTTAGCATTTGTTTTAATTGTACATTGTTATATAATGCTTTATTTTAGTGAATGTCGTATTTAGATGAAGATTTTGAATTAATTACAGTATGTACAAAATGATGCAGTCTCATCAGATTGCAAAACTTCTACATGGTAAATAAGATAAAGTGACAGTGTTTAATTTGCTTGAAAATCTCTTCCCAATATGTCAATGAAGTAGTAAAAATGAGTTGAATCATTTAAGGTTCTCAAAAAATTTGATTGATATTTTATTTCCAGATTCACCATTGATCATTTTGGAGGAATTTCATGGAGAGGAAAAACAAATGAAATCACTTGCACAATGATCACATCAGTGCCTTAATGCTGCCAATGAATAGCTGCATTTAATTAAACTAGAAAAAGACTCACAAAGTTGGTGGAGTAAGGTAATTCAAAAGATATTGTCATATTTGCTTTTTATGGTAGTTTGTTACATATGAAAAGTAAATAAATAGTACAAATCTCTGCTTCCTCTAACTAGGTCAGTGAGGTTACTATGATTTGATTAAATAAATATGACTGTAGTTTGCATGAAGCTGTACTATGGATTTCTATTTATGAGAAGGGTGCCCTTTGTTGTTTGTTAAAATGCCAACTCTGCAATGGGTTTCATGCAATGTCAATTTCATATTATCAATCTCAATCAAGGAGGAGCATTTGTATGAAAGAGTGAAGTTCAAATGTTTCTGAAAGTGGGATTATTTCATAACTTTTGTCATTTCAAAAGAACTGCCTTTACTCCTTGATAAAGAAGTTATTGACATGTTCCTGATAGAACCACCATTTTATATAGAGGGAAACATCTAAAGTCTGCTATTAGGCCATGTCAATAATTGAATAAATTTTTTAAAACAAAAATAATAATGAAAGAAAGTAATAAATGAGCACAATATTGATGTTTCCTGAAGGTTGTGGGACACTCTTTTTTAAGAACACTAATAGTAATAAATGAATAGTAATGAATATAAGAGAATCATAGAACACTATTAAGATAGCATAACTAATAGATTCATATTACTTACAAGCACTGGCGGATCCAAAAGGCCTAGAGTTTTCGTTTACCTTCCTTTATTTGGCAAAATTGATTTAAATATTTATATTTGTATTATGTAAATATTTAAACAATAATATTGTGTGGTATCATATCTCCATTACCTTCATAATATACAATATAATTACAAATATGTTTATTATTTTAAAAAAATCTATTATACCCCCAATCCCAAATCATCAGCTGGATCCACCCCTGGTTACAAGTATTGTTTGTAGTTAATTAACGTATACATGGAAACTTTGAATTGAAATTATATTGTACGATTGTATTCAATCACATATGCCATATTTCTTTCTTTCTTTTCCTTTTTCAACTTTTTATAGAGTTTATCTCATTGCATATCAAATTATCCATACATGTCTAAAAACTTTTACTAATTGTGAGGCACTGAAGAAAATTCTTTTGAGGGGGGGGAATGAAAAAAATGAATGTTTTTCTATGAGAAACAGAAAATGATTCTTAATGTATGCATGTATTCTAAGATTTCACACTAGTCTTCTGTGAGATTATGAAAGATGAAATTGTGTATTAATGTAATTTCTTCTTTTATTTGTTTTATGTTTGTGGTATTTTATTGTTTTGGAATGAATTAATTGTAAGTTAGCTTCCAAAAACTGGGCTTGTTTTTGTTTACCTTCAATGAGTAACAGTTGCTTAATTAACACTGCAACACTTAACACTTCAGAAAATATGGATTTAAGCTGTCAAGAATCATATTTTATTGAGAACTCCAGATGCAGCAATGAAGTTGGCCTTTACACAAACTTTTTTCAATCGGTCTTCGCTGTTTGCTTGTAACCAATAGTGTAATTTTTTATGGTCTTCTACTTTCTTGCCATTTACTACTGCAAACAATTTTTTTAAATTTTTTAATTATTTTATTTTATGAAAATAATATTAATTTCCTTCTTTTTCGTGCTTAGTCTTCCTTGTCTCCCAAAATGGAGTGTATAATCCTTTGTTCATTCATGTCTGACATTTTTTTTTTTTTCTCCTTCCA